CCTGCTCCCTCCTGCTGTCTGAAAAAGAATAGTATTTTCTGTTAACTTGATTCACGAATAAGCAATGAGAAGGTATGATCTTAGTTGTGATGTACCTGTGAGGAGAATACTGCCTAGCTGGCAGCCTTGTCCCTTAAGATTTCAGCCAAGGAAGCAGTGCATCTGGGTATCGAATGTTGCTTGTTGAAATGACGTCATTAATCTCATCCTCTACGAAACCCACAAGTCATTAATTTTTAAGGTTTTTCAAAAGACGTCCCTGTGTTGGGTTTGTGTGCTGGTGTTTTGGTAGCGGGGGAGGGGCTACAGGGGTGGCTCCTGTGAGAAGCTGCTAGAAGCTTCCCTGGCTCCAAGCTGGACACACCTCTGGGCATGGCCAAGCCAACCAGTGCCTCTGGGATTAACAGATTTAAGGGGGGAAATAAAGAGAGCTGCTGGAGAAGTGAGAGGAGTGGGATAGAAGACTGGGCAGACACCCGGGTCAGTGCGGAAAGGCGAGCAGAAGATGTCTGGAGCAGAGGTTCCCCTCAGCCGTGGTGAGAGGGCAGGCTGTGCCCTGCAGGCCAGAGACTCACCTCATCCCACTGGAGGGACAAGTGAGTGAGCAGCTGTGTGGTGCTTTGTTGTGAGCTGGGCCTCATCCTGCTGGAGCATCTGCTCCTGCAGGATGGCATCCCATGGGAGGGACGCACGCTGGGCAGTTCGGGAAGACCTGCAGCTCTTGGGAAGGGCTCAGGTTGGAGAAATTGGTGGAAGACGGTCTCCTGTGGGAGGGACCCCAGGCTGGAGCAGGGGCAGAGGGTGAGGATCCTCCCCCAAGGAGGAAGGAGAGGCAGAGACAGTGTGTGATGGACTGACCCCAACCCCCATTCCCCATTCCCCTGCACTGCTGTGGGAGAGAAGGTAGAGAAATGGGGAGCAAAGCTGAAGCCCAGAAGGCAGAAGGGGTGGGGGGAAGGTTTTTAAGATCTGGTTTTACCCCTCATTTTTCTACTCTGATTTGATTGGTAACTAATTAAATGGATTTTTTTCCCCAAGTCGAGTCTGTTTTGCCCATGACCATAATGGATATGTGACCCCTCCCTGCCCTCATCTCGACCCACCGAGGGGAAGAGTGAGCAAGCGGTTGTGTGGTGCTTAGTTGTCCTCCGGGCCTAAACCATGACAGTCACTCAAAAACGAGCAGGCATTTGCTGATGTAAAATGCACCATCAAGTAACTCAGTGGAAAAGAGTGGAAGACAGAAGTGTAAAACAGCAGAGTGAAGCATTAATACTAATTATGACAGCTTCCGTACTTTCTCACTTTTAATCATCACATGGGTCTTAAGTAAATGTTTTATATTCTGGTTTAATTTCACTCTTTCTCTAGGTCCTAGTTATTTAGATTAAAGTAGCAACTTAATGCAAGTAAATTTCCAGTAAGTGTTTCCCACTTAAAACAAATTATTCTAAATTATGAAATTCTAGAAAGGAGTTTTTTACGATGTTGAACCATAATATAGCTGTTAAATGGCACATAAATCGACAATCCATCCTGAAACTGATGAGAGTATCTTTGGAACATTTTAGTGACACATTTAAGCAGAATTCCTTAGCTCCCATTCAAATGTGTTCCTCTGTGTGTGTAAGATTGTGTCATGTAGACACGACTTTGATAGACAGGTGTGTACCTGCGAAAGGTGCGGGCAAGTCTAAGACTTTACAGGGAAAAAAATTAAGGGGAAAAAAAAAGAAACAATATCATTCATCTTATTATCACTACTTCTTCAGTCAAAAAACTGCAAGAGAGTTACCTGAATGTTTTTAACACCACTAAGAGAGATGTCACAAGCTGGATAAATACCAAAATGCACCTGCTTGGGAAAAGGATTCTGGACTGGGTGTGTACACTCACACTCAACAGAGAAGTTCAGCAGCTTCGCAAGCATCAGAGAAAACAACCACCAGCTCGTACTGCATGATGGTGTATTATCCCAGTAACATGTACAAATTGCCTTAGGGTGAGTAAAATCGTGCATCTGCTCCCAGCTACCCAAATTTGGAAAATGGACTAGAACAACAAAAAAATAAAAAGAAGGGTAAATGTAAGACACAACCCACAGCTCAAGAAATTCTAGTGGGAAGCGAATGCTACAGCCAGGTAGCAGTATTTGACACGGTGTTTGAGCACAAAGGAAACGCAGGCTCGAGGGGATGAAAACCCAGGAGTTCTCTGCCACCTGGGCAGGCTCTGCGGTGTGGGCCTGCCCGTGCCCGCGGAGCTGCAGGAGCCCGGCCCGTGACAGGGAGCGGTGCCTCTGACGGCAAAGGCAACAACATTTAGGTCATGGGTAGTTGTATATCACTGTCCTGACACGATGTTTTAAATCACAACCCTGCATTTTCAGACTGGTACACTGAGTCATGAAACAACCAAAACCAGATGTACCCTGTGAAATACTACACAAATGAGGTCAGCGAGCACTTGAAAGAATACAGAAAAGAAACGTTTAGGCAGAAGGATTATTCCAGCATGCCATCTCCATAGGTTGCTAAACAGGAACCCGTCTAGAGTAAGTGTCTCTACCTCACCAGGAGTTTCCCAGATAAATAAGTTGGCTCCATTGGCTACCAACACAAATCACACAGAATGACTAGGATTCAGGTCCAAACATCAGAACTCTGAGCAGCTGGCTGCCTGGCCAGGGTGGAAAGGACCTTGTGTCCCATACATCCCATGCTGATAGGTGCTGCTGTCAGATTTAAGGGGG